GCTCTGGATAGTGTGACCATTTAAACAATATTAATTCTTCCAATCCAAGAACATGGGATATCTTTCCATTTCCTTAAGTCATCTTTAATATCCTTGGTCCATGTTTTGTAGTTCTCCCCATATAAGTCTTTCACTTCCTTGGTCATATTTATTCCCAGGTATTTTTTATTTTGGATGCAATTTTAAAAGAGATTGCTTCTTTGCATTCCTTTTCTGATATTTCATTGTTAGTGTAAAGAAATGCCACTGATTTCTGTATGTTAATCTTGGATCCTGCTACCTTGCCAGATTCTTTTATCAGTTCTAATAGTTTTTGAGTGGAGCCTTTAGAGTTTTCTATATATAGTGTCATGTTATCCTCATATAATGACAGTTTTACATCTTCTCTTCCAATTTGGATCCCTGTTATTTCTTTTACATGTCTAATTGTTATGGCGAGGACTTCCAACACCATATTGAATGGAAGTGGTGAGAGTGGGCATCTGTGTCTTGTTCCAGATTTTAGCAGAAAGGCTTTCAGCTTATCACCATTGAGCCTTATGCCGGCTGTAGGTTTGTCATAAATAGCTTTTATTATGTTAAGAGATGTTCCCTCTATACCCACATTGGTTAGAGTTTTTATCATAAATGGATGTTGAATTTTATCAAATGCTCTTCCTGCATCTATTGAGAGGATCATGTGATTTTTGTCCTTTCTCTTGTTAATGTGGTGTATCACATTGATTTATTTGCATATATTGAACCATCCTTGTGTCCCTGGGATGAATCCAACTTGATCATGGTATATGATCTTTTTTATGTGTTACCGGATTCTGTTTGCTAATATTTTGTTGAGGATTTTTGCATCTGTGTTCATCAACGATATTGGCCTATGGCTTTCTTTTTTGGTAGTGTCTTTGTCTGGCTTTGATATCAGGGTGATGGTGGCTTCATAGAATGAGTTTGGGAGTGTTCCCTCCTCTTCAGTCTTTTGGTGGAGTTTGAGTAGGATTGGTATGAGCTCTTCTTCGTATGTTTGATAGAATTCCACGGTGAAGCCATCTGGTCCTAGACTTTTGTTTGCAGGGAGTTTTTTTTATTGTTGATTCTATTTCACTTCTAGTGATGGGTCTGTTCAAATTATCTATTTCTTCTTAATTCAGTTTTGGTGGACTATATGTTTCTAGAAACTTGTGCATTTCTTCTAAGTTGTCCAATTTATTGCCATATAGTTGCTCATAGTATTCTCTTATGATTTTTTGTATTTCTGTGGTGTTGGTTGTAATTTCTCCATTTTCATTTCTTATTTTGTTCATCCATGTCCTCTCTCTTTTCTTCTTGGTGAACCTGGCCAGAGGTTTGTCAATTTTGTTTACTCTTCCTAAAAACCAGCTCTTGGTTTCATTGATTCTTTTTCTATTTTTTTAATCTCTATTTTTATTTATTTCCTCCCTCATCTTTATTATTTCTTTCCTTTTGCTGACTTTAGGCTTTGTTCTTCTTATTCGAATCCTTTTACGTGATAGGTTAGGTTGTTTACTTGAGATTTTTTTCTTCTTTTTTGAGGAAGGCCTGTATCACTATGAACTTCCCTCTTCAGACACTTTTGCTGCATCTCATAGATTTTGTGTGGTTGGGTTTTCATTGTCATTTGTCTCAAAGTATTTTTAAATTTCTTCTTTGATTCATCAGTAGCCCATTGGTTTTGTTAGTAGCATGTTGTTTATTCTCCATGCTGTCATTTTTTTCTCATTTGTTTTTCTGTGATTGATGTCTAGTTTGATGCCATTGTGATCAGAGAAGATGCTTGAAATAATTTCTATCCACTTAAATTTGTTGAAGCTTCTTTTTGCCCATGTATGTAGTCTATCCTAGAGAATGTTCCATGAGCGCTTGAAGGGAAGGTATATGCTGTTTTGGGAGGATGTAATGTCCTAAAAAATATCAACCAAATCCAACTGTTCTATTGTGTCATTTAGTATTTCCATTGCCTTATTGATTTTCTGTCTGGAAGATCTATCTAATGATGTTAGTGGGGTATTAAGCTGTCCTACTATTATTGTATCTATAAGGATCAGTGAAGCATCACAAAATCAGTAATACGTGATTTCCTCCTTATCTGACTAGATAAATTATAAATCATTCTCATTACCAGTGAAAGAGACAGTGTTTTAGAAGAAAAATACAAAAATATAAAAAAATCTAGAAAATCCCTAGAACAGACATCTCTGTTTTTAAAAAAAGTTGCAAGTCGTTTTGTGCAATTACATGCTATACTGTCAGCCATGAGACATAAAAATGACATTTGCCTAAGTTGACTGTTACAATCTACTGATACTTTAAAACTGCATAATTCATGGCATAGTGCTGTTTACTGAGAATATTTTATTATCAAAATACTAATTTCTAATATACTCCTTAAATTTTCCTAGTTGCAAAAGCAAATACAATAGATAGATTAATAAATTCTTCATAATTAGCATAAATACAGAATTAAACAATTTTTTATTGATAAAGATTTATCCTCATCCCCACTAAATAAATGTTAACTGGTTTTTAAATATATTGGATTAAAATTATTCTGATCATTTCCTGATATTATAACAAACCACCTATAACTTACTGGCTTAAAATGATTTATTTCAGTTCTGTTTGTTGACTGGTTCAGGTGGTTGATTCTCACTTGGGAATCTCATGCTGTTGCACTCAGATTTTGGCTGTGGGTGGAGTTCTACTGACCTGGACATCCAAGATGGCTTCTTGTCACATATTTTGTGTTTGAGCTGGAATAGCTAGAACAGCTGGAGGCTAGCCAGGAGTGTCTGTCCATACTCTTTCTCCCCCTTTAGCTGGTTTGTACTTCTCCACATGGTGATCTCAAGATCACTCGACTTCTTACATGGAGTCTGGCTTTTCCTAGAGCAAGCATTCCAAAAGAACAAGTTGGAAGCTGCAAAGTTTCTAATATCACCTGGGATGTCACACAGCATGACTTCTATAACATTCTGTTGGTTATAAGAGAGACACTACATAGTCATGGTTCATTGGAAACTATCTTTCTGAATTGACTATCAGCTTTTGTCAAGCAAGTCTCCTGACAAAAAGTAGAATATTCTATTAATGCATCCATTTAGTTACCTATGTTTTCTTTATCTCTCTTCAAAGGCTGCATTAAAAAATGTTAGCTGGTCTGCTATATGGTTTATTTTTCTTTTCTTAATTTCCAGTTCTTTCTTTATAGTTATGTCCAGTTTAGGTGTCTTAAGTTTCATGTGCAGCTTGAACCTCTGCCTTCCTCTTTCCTCAAAGGTTACCTGCCTTTCACCTAGTGGAAATCAAGGATGAAAGTATCAAAGTAGGCTACACACAGACACAGACACAGACACAGACACACACACACACACACACAGAAAATTACAACTGTTGACAAGATCATCAATGTTTCATAGTTTCCATGTGCAACTTTTTCACCTCCTTAGTTAAGTTTATTCCTAAGTATTTTGGTTTTTTTGGTAATATTGTAAATGGAATTACTTTAATTTCCTTTCCAAATTGTTCATTGTTGGTGTATAGAAACACAAATGATTTTTGTGTGTTGATTTTGTATCCTAAAACTTGGCTGAATTTGTTAGTTAACAGTGTTTTGTGGAATCTTATGGGTTTTCTACACATAATATCACGTCATCTGTGAATAGAGAAAATTTTACTTTTTCCTTTCTAATTTAGGTACCTTTTTTTTTTAACTTTACTTAGTTGCTCTGGCTAGTGCTGTGTTGAATCAAGTTGTGAATGCAGCCTTCTTTGTCTTGACGTGGAGGGATTCTTGAAGGAGATTGTTTGGGGAGGTAGAAATCTCTCCCACCTATGGTACCACACCACTACCTCCTATCTACTATGGGGACTGGGCCACTTGAGGATCCTAATCCCTACAGCCCAGAATAAGAGTTCCCTAAATCTGCTTTATTTAAGCTGAAATAATGCTCCAGCCAGTGGAGGTCTTTGGAAGGGTGGTTAATAGTAACCTATGGCACTAAAATTTTAAAGCATTCTTACCAGTCACCCCTCAATCCCATGTATTCCCAAGAGGTCACTTGGAGCTTTTTCTCCAGTGCATTTTAGGCTTACTTCTTCATTTTCTCATTATCCAGAAGACAGCTGTTGAATCACTCAAACATATACATTTTTATGAACAAAATTAATTCCTTGAAATTAATTATTTGACTATAAAGTCAAATGCCTGAGGGCAATCATAAATAAATGAAAAACAGGAAAGCTAGGGAAAATAAAGAATGGTAAAAATTATGGACAGGTATTTATAACCATGTGTGAATGAATTCAGGGTTGCCAAATCTTTCATATTTTCAAGAGAAGTTGAGAATCAAGAGTTTTATGTAAATTGTCTGAATTTTTAGCACAGTTCAGACTTAACATAACTGCCAATTTGAAACTTTAGGTCTAAAAGAAAAAGAGAAATATACAGTATTATCTTGGCTACTCCATAATTTGCAAGGCTGCTTCTTTACTGATGAATTAGAACTAATAACCAATGTGAATTAGTTCTTCACATTACAGAAAATACTGTAGCTTTTTAGAAAAGATTTTTTCCAAATCAGGGCTTGGAAAGTGGAAGTAGGAAGTATGTGCAGGCCTGCCCAAAATTAGAAAACATCTTATTACAGCACCTTCTCTTAGTTGCAAAAGACCTGGAGAAGGTCCTGAAATTACCACTTGCAAAGATAATTAAATTCTTAGCAAAGGGCCTTTTTTAAATTTCAAATTTGTTATTTCTAAGTAATTAAACTTTTGAAATGTGAAAATACTATTATATAATAAGTGTGTTATTTTGAAACTAACTTCTGTATTGAAATTTTTAAAACTAATTCTGTTATCTACATCATGTTTTAAATATAGAGCTTTTGAAGAGAAACGAAAAGAACAAGAAGAAAAAGAACACCAAATCAGAGAACAAATACTTCAACAAAGGAAGCAGAAGTTTGAAGAAGTCACTGAAAAATTCCAGCGTGCCCATATTCCTCTTTCACAGAGGAGGAGAGCAGGTGCCTTAGTTTCTAGAATAACTGAAAACAAAAATGAAAGTTATAATCACATTGAACTTGAGTAGACAATAAAATGATAAATTAAGAAACAAAGTGGAAATTCAGACTCAAAAGACCACTGTGCCATTTGAGTAATAGGACTTTAACCAATGAAAAATTGCTGTCTGATTTAGGTTTAATTCAGAGAATGAATTTTTGTTGGCTCTATTGGTAAATTTGGAAAGCTCGCAAGTTTGATTCTACTTCATACTGGCTTACAATGTTTTGTCTTTTTAGAACTGACTTAAAAAATAGTTTAATATTAAAAGAAAATTTAGCATTTAGGTTTAGGAAATTAGTGTCACATTCATTTTGGCGTTTTGTGCAGATTTTTTTTCAAATTCATATTTGAACAACTGGCAAAATAAAAGGAAAGTCTGCATAGTGACATAATCCAACAATCTAAGCCTGGAACAAATTAAAAATTTTGAAATGATTACATTTGATTCTTTGGTATCACATCTACATTTTTTAAGCCTTAAATAGTAACATAGAACTAGCAACAAAATGTCAAAGCTTCAAAAAGGAAAAGGACAAGTGAATCTTTATGTATTCAGCAAACATCCTGTGCTATGTTGTACTTAGCCCTGGGCTAAGCTGAAATGCTGAGATACAAAAAAATCTAATGGTACTCTACCATTAAAGATCTCACAGCTTTTTTTGGAGATGATAGTAATATAAATAATTAATATCAATAAATATAATTGCTATTGTAGCAGAATGTGTAAAGTAATATGACAGCATAGATAAAAGAACACTAAACATATACAGAGACAGCAAGAATATCATCCTTGGGAATGTGGCTTAATTTGAATCTTGAAGAATGTGCATTTTGCCAAGCAAACAGAAAATTCAAAAACATCTAAGACGTAAGGGAACAGATTTTGCAAATGAATTAGGTATTGCAATGTACCTAAAGCATAGAATGGGAAAAAAAGAGAAGAAAAACGAGTTGGAACAATTCTCAAAGAGCTTTGTATGCCATGCTAAGAATTTCAACTTTATCCAAAATGCAATCCGCTTAAAGTTTTTTAACTGGAAGGCAAACCATTACTATGTCAGTAAGAGATCTTACAGAAAGTAAAGGCAGCTAGTAACACTGCTGAAAATACTAATAGCTTGAACATCATAGGGGTTTGTTTTTTCCTCATATAAAGTGAAATCCTCAGGTAAGCAGTCAAGAGCTGATTTGATGATTATACAGTGTCACTGGGAACCCAGACTGCTTCGGTCTGTCAGCTCAGCCACCCTCAGTATGTGATTTATAGCTTCACCCTTATGGTCACATGGTAGCAGCTGGAGCTCCAAGCATCATGGCAGTGTTGTAGGCAGGAAGAAGAAAGAAATGTAAAGGACAGATGGGTGTACCTCTAAGCTCCCTTTAAATTGTTTTCCTAGAATCCCCTATCTGTCTACTTATATCTAATTAGCAACTCCATCTGCAAAGGAGACTGGAAAATACAGTTTTTTTTAATGTGGCTATATTGCTACCCCTAGCAATATAGAGTATGTTACCAAGGAATAAAGGGAAAATGAATATTAGGTAGGAAACTGTGCTAAAATTAGATTTGTTTGTTAGAAAGATAATTATAGTTACAACATGGAAGATGAACCGAAGTAGAAACATACTAAATTAAATAGACTAGTAGGAGGCTGTTTTAGTATTTGTGGCAAGAGGTATTAGGCTACTAAAATAAAGCACTGCACTGGATGTAGAGGTAGGAGGTAATGTCTTCAGGAGATATAATAAATAGATTCAGTTACTAATTTATCAAGAGTGCTGGAAGAAAGACTAGGAGAACAGTGCCCCTAGGACTTAGCAGAGAGCCTCACAAATTTTTAGCGCTCAGTAAGTACTTTTTTAGTAAATTAATTATTTTGGTGGAAGATGATAATATTAATCAAGGTTACAAATAAAGGAGGAGAATCAGGTTAGAGTTATAAAAGATTTATTAAGTTTTAAAAGCATTGATGGCTCATACAAATGGGGAAATCAAATCAGCAACCAGAAATATGGATCTCAAACTTAAGAAAAAGATATATAGAAATTCTATTTGAAGTCACCAATGAATAGATATATATCTGATAAAGGAAGCCATGGGGAAAGATAAGGTAAATATTGGGTATAGACTGCTGACAAATGACATACACATTCACTCAATGGAATATTGGCAGTGTCACTGGAGAGCTAGAAAGTCACCTACTCTACCTCCTTGAGTTGTTTGTAGTATGCTGCATTAGAAGCAATAGACTTTAAAAAGCAACTATGTTTCAATCTGAACAAGAAGCTGTGTACCAAAGTATACAATGGAAGTTTTGGGAAAGTGGACATATGGAAGGGAGGGTTCGATTAGAGGTAGTGCAGAGTGATATGTTCATGAGTGTCCGTATAATTTATGACCTTCAACAAGCTACTTAGCTTCTCTATGCCTCAGTTGCAAAAGGAGATTCAAATAACTTCTGCCTCACAGGCCTTAGTGAGAATTAAATTACTTAATACTGTAAGTATTGTAATACTATGTACGTGTTTTTAAATAATGTCTTTTGAGTAAGTGTTCAATAAATGTTAACAGGTATTTTTATATCTTCCCCTTTTCTTCATGAGAATGTTAATAAACTTTGTCAAAAATTTATGAAATGGTGCAATCAGATACAATGGAGTTTGCATGCCAGACTGAAAAGCCTGGACATTTCTCAGTTTTGTTTTGCCAGATAAATATTCTTAAAATTGGTGATGAGAATTTTGAGGTAACTGTTTCTCACTAGGGAATTGGTTGTCTAAATTTAAAATCTTTACACTATCCTAAAAAGTATTTTTTAAAGTGTTATTTTATCATTGACCAATTAAATTATATGTAAAGAGATTGTTGAAGACGAAATGATTCTGAACTACTTGATCTTTATTGTTCTCTTAGTTTTTCAAAAACCAGTTCCTCCGTTAGAAGAGGCCCTCAAACAAATTCAGGAATCCAACTTAAAACCAGAAGTAAACCTTCCCTCTTCCCACAGACCAATAATAAACTGGAGGTAAGTAACTTATGATTATCATTGTATAGTTACTAATATTTAGTAATTAAATAGCTCTCTAGTTACTGAGCTTTTAGGCCTTTTCATGATTTACTTTTCACCTCTGTTTAAAAATTTACCATTTTATTTTCACACTGAATTGAAGTAGAGTGGAATATAAATTGCTTCAAGAGTAAGTAAAAATGTTAATTTATTGTCTTTGGTATTACAACGCTGCCTATGCTGACTAATTTTCTATGGAAACTATCATCAAAACCACTTAAAAATGTTGATACTGGTTATTCGTCTTTACTGAGAGGAAACAACAGTATTGACTTGTAGTGAGACAAATTTAGATAAAAGGAGCAACTTTATGGTAGAAATTGGTTTTTTCTCACTGAAAATCTTTCCTGGATATCTTTAAAAAGCTACAGTAACTCCTGGTTCCTCTCTAGGTTAGTTTAAATGAATCATCTTGAAGCAATAGGATGAACCAGTCAACCACAGAGTATCTTCTAACATTCTATATTTTTAATTTATTTATTATAAATGTTTCTTGAACCTACTGTGTGTGTAATATTAGATCAGGCATTGTAAAAGATTATGGAGAAGTATAATATTCTGAAATATGATCCCTAGAGTATAACTAGAAGAGAGGTGAAATAATGCTTCAAAAAGTATGGAACAGTACCAAATGAGTAATGATAATAATACTTAATTTTTTTATATAAAGGTATCTACAATTCATACATAAATTATGCTAATATTTTACCTGTGAGGGATGTTATTTTCTAAAGTACTTCCATTTTTAGCATACCTACGGCAGATAGTTCCCTTGATCAGAGTTAAGAACAATTAAATTCATTCTCTCAGTCTTTATTATAGTTCAAGAAAGACTTCATGGTATAGAAGACTCTTCAGAAAAGCTTTGAAAAAAATAAATAGGAGTTAATCATGAAACAAGTGGGTAGATGATATTCCAGACAGAGAGATGAGCATGTTGAAAGGCCAAGAGTAACAGAAAGAGTGATGTATTCTAGAAGTAAGAGTATAACTGAATAATAAAATGCAAACTACCAATAGCTTCACTAGATGTGAGATTGGAGAGGAAAATGCACCTGCATGCTAAAGAATATAAAGTTTATCCTGAGAGCTGGAGAGGGGTCAATGAAAGATTTTAAGCAGATGGGTGATAAGATAAACTTTTCTTTTTTAACGTATCATACCAACATATTGTGAACAAGTGTGGATAATAGATTGAAAGCAGACAGAACAAGAGGTTATTTCAATGTATGTAATTGAAATTACATGAATTTAGAGCTCAAGAGAAAGACCTAGGATTAAGATATTTGAAGCCAAAACAATGGATGAGCTCAGTCATGGAGATTGTGTACTGTGACAGCAGGGCTAGGATAGAACACTAAAGAGCAGCAACATTTAAGGAAGTGAGAAATGGAGAAACCTACAGAATGGTTGATATAAGACTATATACAGAGAGAAGGTAGGACTAAGGAATACAGAGTTTTGTGGGGACAAAAAGCAGCGTAATAGAGATCAAATGTCTTCTGGTGAATCAGCAACATAAAAAGTTGTATCATTCAGGACACTGGCAGAAAACATGTGACATTTAAAAGGAACGACTAAAAAGTGGTTAGTAAAGTAGCCAAAAAGGGATGGCGAAGCACCCCTAGAACTGAGAAGAAAGTCAGTATTACCGCCACAGATCTGAACTGAAAAGAGCTGTAGCTATACAGGAGGGCTGCTAGACAGGACCTGCGGTCATAGGTGGAGGAACACTGCCATTGCTAAACCAAGCCCAGCAGAGAGGAAGCCAGAGGAATAATTAGCAAAACCCTCTCTCTTCTGGTACTCTCTCATCTCTTGCTAGTGCCTTTCATTGCTCAAACTCAGCCATAAATTAAAAGGCTAGGGATCGTTCAGTCTCTGCTGAGCAGAGACAAGTGGAAAAGTGTGGAAAGTGAATCTGGATGGGCAAAGAGAGAATATCCAGCTTAGAGGCAATGTGTCTACTATATTTCACAACAAAAAAGGTCACAATGGCAACTTTTGTCAGAGCAATTTCAGTGGAGGGATAGGGACAGAGAAGAGATTGCAATGAGTTGGAGAGAAATGGAGAGCAAGAAAATTAAGATTATCAAGTATAGCTTGGCTGTGAAAGGAAAAGAGTGATAGAACAGTAACCATAGGAGATGTCTGGCCAAGATATGACTTTTTCCCGTTAAGACAGAAGATGCATTATCATGTTCAAATATGGATGTCAAAATGTCTAGAATTGCTGTCTAGAAAAGTAGAGGAGAATCAAAATGTGAAATGTCTTAAGTACCTATCGTGTGCTGGACGCTGATTAGCAAAGGTTATACATATGAATGAGATATAATCCTCAGCCCAAAATAGGTTTGCAGGTACATTATAATACTGTGTACTGGTAGTTACATCTTAAGACCCAAGTAATGCCATGTAACTAGGGGTGGTTACAGAAATTCCAGCAAAATGATAAAGAGTACAAAATTTAAAGTTGAAGAGAAAACATAAAAGATGAGTATGAATTATCTACTAAGGAAGCATAGGTTGATTTTAGGCATGTGTAAAGTATAGACGCCTAAGGAAATGAACTTGTTCAAAGCAGCAGGACTATAGCTGTGTTGCTGGTAGGACAGGGTATTATCTAGAAATGTAACTTGAGGTCAGATGTGAAATGCTTGTCTAACTAGGAAGTTTTAGCTTTATCCTGTAATTAGTAGAGAACCAATGGAGGTTTTTGAGCAGGAAGTGATATAATCCTCTTTATTATTATTGAAAGATAATTGGTATCAATGTTGGAAAATAAAAAGGGTGGAGAGAAATTGTAAGCAAGGAGACCAGAGAAAATTAATGGGATAATCCAAGGGATGGATCACTACTATCTAAACTAGAATAGTACTATTTTGTATAGTGAGAAAAGGATAGATCTGATAAAGAATAAAAAATATTTTGAGTAGTTAGGAGGAAAGAATGAGAGAGAAGAAAGAATGAAAATGCCTTTCCACAGCAGAGAAGTGACAAATAAGAGTTTAAGAATGTTAATCAAATAGCAGTATAAAAATAGGAATATGGAAGGAGGGAAATCAAGATGGCAGAGTAAGAGGACATGACCTCACCTCTCCCACCAATCAATTCAAAAATACATCCACATGTGGAAAACTTGTCATGGAAAACTAACTAGAAACTGGCAGAAGGATTCCTATACAACCAAGGCTGTAAGAAAGATACACACATAATTGGGTAGGATGGGAAGAAAAGCGTAGGGTAGGGAACTGTGCCCTTGGGAGGAGACTAAGGGGAAAAGGGAGATCACGTGGGCAGACACCCTGTGGAGTGAGCTAGTCAAGTCACAGACTAGGCATCCCAATCCTGGGGTCCTACCCATGGGAGACAAGCATCTGTGGCTGCTTGGGGAACTGCCGGGACAGGTAGAAAGGCTGGAGAAGCCAAGGCTCCACCTGTGAGGAGTGTGAGGGTGCTAGCTAGCCACCAGACAGGGCAGAGAGAAGTCTGCCCTAGCAGCTGCTGCCTTACCGTGCTTCACAATCTGAACCAAGTGAATGTCTGGCCCCACTCACTGCAAGCCACAACTTGGCACTGGATCTAGGGTAGCCAGGACCAGGAAGAAGACCCAATCTGGGGACACAAAGTCAATCCAGAGGCCCGGGGTTTGGTCCAGGTAGAGTGTTGTCCATTGTTGGTACTTACTCAAACAGAACCCCAGAAGCAGCCCAGACTTCTGATGGCAGTGCAGCTGCTTGAACTCCCATAACCAACATGCCACACTCCCTAGTCCCAGGTGACTGAATGTTCCAGCCCCACCCACTCCACGCCACAGCCTAGCACTAGATCTGGGGCAACCACAACGGGAAAAGACATGACCTTGGGCTGCATCTGAGCAGAGCCACAGATGCCTCTATAGGCAGCACATTAGACCTCTGCAAGCACATAAGCCTCACTTGCTTCAGCACTCCCTTACATTGGGGCAAAAGCCTCAGTGTGGGGAGAAGGAAAAATACATACTTAAAGGGGGCAGAACCAGCTCAAGCCCAACCCTCAGGGCTTCTGCTCCAGCAACTTAGGAGCAGACCTTATCCCTGAGAGGGTAGTGAGCAGAAGGGAAGTGTTGCCTCACATCCTGTGCAGTTCCTCCATCACCAGCCGTACCTCCTACCAAGGTGATAGCAGTCAGCATACTCTGAGAAAAGACATAATTGGCATCCACATCAAATCCAGCCCTTCAACAAAAGACATTGGGTACATGCAGTCTACAGAGGGACACTCCCACATAAGAACAGCCCTTCAAGACCACAGTAAGTAACTGCTTCACCTTAATTCATAGAGAGAGAAAATTAAGTAAAATGAAAATGCAGGGGAACTACTCTCAACTGAAAGAGCAAGAGAAAACTACTGAAAAAGTAAATAATTAAACAGACATAATCAGTCTACCAGACAATGGATTCAAAACATTGGTCAAAAAATGCTAACTGAATTAGGAAAGAAAATTTATCTAAGCACAGATCATTTTAACAAGGAACTAGAAAATATAATCAAAATAGATAATTTGATATCTGAGACACAAAGCACTCTAGAAGCAATAAATAACAGACTAAATGACACAGAACACATAAGTGATCTGGAAAATAGAATAATGGAAATCACTCAATCAGAACAGCAGACACAAAGAAAAATGTAAAAAATAAAATTAAAGCAAAAGTACAAGATCTACAGGATGACATAAAATGTGCCATCATTCGCATTATAGGGGTTCCCAAAGCAGGAGAGAGAAGGGAATTGAAAAGAACGAGAAGGAGATTGAAAATGTATTTGAAGAAATTATGGGTGAGAACTTCCCAAACCTAAAGAAGGAAACAGATACCCAGGTACAGGAATCAGAGAAGGTCCCAAATACAATGAGCCCAAACAGACCCACAACAGGATATATCATAATTTAAATGGCAAAATTAAAGGTAATAAAT